GCCCTGATGATTTAGAGAATAGTTTTCACCTATTTTTGAATGTGATTACTCTTTTGGTGTTTTACAAAGAACAATCCTTCATCTTACATATATTTCATTCACGCCAAATTTATTGCAGCTTTTTGAGCTTATTAACAATTCTAATGTTGAATGCCAGTAGGAAAAATTTTGCTTACCTCTCTATTTGCTCCACAATTTACTTTCTTTGGAGAGAGAAAAATGAAAGATAACTTGGAAAAATATTCAAATGCCAAAATTCTCTTGCTTGAGATATATCAAGTGCCATCCAACTCAAAACTGCATCTTAGGAGTTTTAGCCTTTTGCTATCTTTCCCAAGATCAATCTTTATGGGAGTTTTTGTTGGACAATGATCGATGAATGGCTCCATATTTTTCACTATTTTTTAATTTCAACTTAGGTTTTTGTACGTGCCTCAAGCTGTATTTGATTTTTTTTTTTCATTTGATGTAAATTCCATGTCATTGCAATAAAATGACTAAAAAAAAATATGCTTATATTCTACATTCTTTCAGTGCACCATTTCATAAAGAGCAGGCCCCGCTCCGCAAAGGAAACTCCTTTGCCAAAGCAGAAGCATATTGAACTTTTATTTTTATCCTTTTTTTAAGAAGAATTCCTCTTTATAAAGCCATTCATTCTTAAAGTCCCAATAAAACCAACCGCTGCCTGTTCGGGTGGTGAAGAGCTGGCTGGGCAAAACCTAGGTCCCTGATTCGAATCCCTTGGCAAGCAGTGAAAGCCTTAAGTGTTGGCCCGTGTAAATTCGTGTGGGTTGCATGCTAGGTCGACCGAGATTTTCACTGACCTAAGGATAGTTCTTCCTCATCACAAAAAAAAGTCCCAATAAACAAAAAAGCACCCATTCTTTTGTAAGTGAAGTGTGTGATCATTTACATAATTGCCATCATTATTAGTCTTTAAATTAGACTTTATTTGGGATAATTTTTTTAAGTTAATGATACTATATGTTCCCAATAAATAATGCTTCTAAACATGTTTAATGGCACATAATTTTGATATTTAACATCTTTCAATCAATAAATATTTTTTTACAGTACGACTCTAAGAGCTCTTTCATTATATGCATAATATTTAAAAAGAATATTGCTGATTTAATAAATAATGATTAAAGCAAGACAATGTACAAGGCAAAAAAGTATGATTACAATTCTTTGATAAGACAATTCTAATATTAAAAATTTAGATGTGACAAAAAAAATTATTAATTTCATATACAAATTGTCAAAATAATATCAATTGTAGGAAAACATTAAAATTATAGTTAAGGCCGAGTATTTGCACCTTGGGGCATCTTCAACTGAATGTCATTTGTCTATTTGCAGCTCCAGCGATAATCCACTTAAGCGAAAAATGGAGTTTTACGTTTTATATTGGCTGTGAATATTTCGATGTCATTATTGGTGTCACATTATTCACCCGAACAACAACCGAATGTCATTCTCACTATTGTCGCTACAGAGAGATGAGAAATAATATACACGAAATATATTTTTTTTTTTTTGTTAGAAATAAAATTCAGTTAGAGATGAATTACTGTTTGATATATTTGATATGACTATTATTGCATCTTGAAGTGAAAAATAAGTTTTTTCATTGGAGATGCCCTTACAAAGAAGAAATGGGGGACAAAATAAAAATCATATTTTGTTTTAAAATATTTTAATAATCCCCAGTAATCCAATGATGTATGGATACATAATTAGTGATTTTAAACAATCATTCAGAAAGCGGAGCTAATAATTATAATCCCCAATATAAATTTTGTAGTCCGCTCATCTTAGATTTTACGAATAGCTTTTGATCATTATTTTTTTACTATTTAATATTTTTTTTAAAAAAAATATTTTAAAAAGGAATAACAAAATTATCCTAAAGGAAGCCTTAATTGTGCAAGCCCTCTCCTTTACGAGTAATTATTACGTCTGGTGATCGGACCGTCCGGACATGAATCCAGATGCGCCACATCATCCGGATATACTGAGTCCCGGATATATCTGGGTGATGTGACATGTCTAAATTGATGTCCGAACATTTCGAAAGTCCGGAGACCGGACACAATAAAAATTCTTCCTCTACATCCTAAGAAAACTCTGTACTTTTTCCCTTCTCAATTCATCAGTCACGAAAAAATGCTCCACCAACCTCATCAATGTACTTTCTATTTAATTTTAAAAAGGTTTCTGAATTTAATACAAAGTTCAAAGATCTCTAAAAGCATGAGATTCATGCACGCAAATTTAGATGTGAATATATGACAAATTTAAAAAATCGATGCAGTACTTAATTTTATAAGCATTAACATGTTTAAAAAAAATTAAAAACCTGGCGTGGCATGAAGCCAGTCGGTGGCCAAGGTAATTTATGCAAATACTTAATAATTTGTATTGGTTTAAAAATAAGGTTATATTTGATTAATCCATAATTAATTCATAATTCCCTTAATTTTTAAAATGATGTTGCGTGCAAGCACCGGTCATAAAATAAATAAATAAATAAAGGTTATCCCTTTTGGAAAACCCTTTTGGGAGAACCCCAAAATAATTTTAAATTTAGAGGTTGCAAAATTCATTAGTTTATTAATTTTTAAATTTATATAATTTCTAATTTAAAACAAAGTATCATTTAAATTTTCTATCTAATAACTCCTAATTAATTTGAAAATTAAAATGATAGTTCTAATCTTTAAGTTATGAAATTATTTTTGATATATCATTAAAAAATCATCTTGATCGGGCACGAATCTTGAGGCAAAATCAATTCAGAAATTAAATATAGGATAATCTAAGCTCTAATTTTAGCAAACTTACAATCGAATTGAGCGTCTCAGAAATACGAACGCAACGACACCAAATTCAACTCAATCCGAGCCCAAATGTATCTAAATCGAAGACCCAAAGCGTTGTTGGAAGATTCAAACCAAAATTTGAATTACCAAACGGTTTTCAAACATGACATGAGTGGCTCGACAAGACGAATCCAACGAGCCCAAGATCGTCGAATTCCAATATCATTAAGACCTTCAAATATCTGACGAACAGTCCACGATCAAGGGATTCAATATCGGTCGTCCATTTAAATCACTCCCAATTTAACCTTGATCCTCCTATTTACGGGTAATGTCGTCCTCAAAAAATTATAAATAACCCCTCATTTATCTTAAGAGTGGACTCAAGCAAGAAGACAAGAAGAAGAAGAAGAAGGAGAAGAGAAGATAAGAAGGGAAAGAGGGAAGAAACTCCTCCTCGACCACCATTGGAGTTCCGCCTGACTTTCAAGTGACGCCAGAATTCTGTTTGATCTTCAAGTGACTTTGGGATTCAACCTGAATATCCAACATTGTCGAATTTCAAATTCTTGTTTGTAACTGAATTTCAATCCGATAGCAGATTATTGTAATCTGATCGTCCTAAATTTTAAGGATGAGTCAGCTTCTTGTACCTCAAGCAAACACTAGTGAAATTATTTCTATTTTCAAAGTTTTCTACGTAAAAATTATGATATTCTTTCATCTTTTGTTTATGTGCTGGATATTCATATAACATTGAGATGAAAACTTTCTAACTTTATCGCTGTGTATATTCTAGCCCGCAACAATTTTAAATATAACATACATTTTTCAAATTTTAAAGATCATTTCGACAATCACTTAATATAATTTTTATTCCTTTAATTTATAAATTAATTTTAATGCAAGTTTAAACTCAAAAATTAATTTGTTTAATTTGCTAAAATGATTTAATAACATTCGTTAAAGAAATTTGGTATATACGAACCAAAATTATTACGAAGAACACAATAACGGGTGTTTATTTTTTTTTTAATTTATTTTTTTAAATAACAACTGCTATTTTCATTATTGTATTTTTTTTGGCTGTCTTGGCCTGAAGAAATTATTCTGTGCAAACGCCGGATTATCACAAATCAGAATGTGTCACATCACTCAATACGTAACAAAAAAATAATATGACGCATTTTAATTCGCCTCCCAATTACATTCGTATCCACAACCGCACAGAATAATAGTCACGGACTCAAATCTTACAAAAGTCGATCACAACAAATTTTTCGTGGTATTTTAGAGTTGCATTTTCATATCAAGCACAATATGGATATCCTTATTTAATGATCTTTCAGTTTAGAAAAATAAATATTTAATTTATTATTTTTAATTAACCAAAACCACCCTTTTTTTTTTTTTTTTTGAGTCGCTAATTGCTCAAATCTAACCCAAATCTTACACAGGTTGATCTGAACACATTCTTTTTCATATCATATTATAGTTGGGATTTCATGTGTAGAACCAACATTGATATCCTTAAAAAAAAATGAAATAATTATTATACGAGCTTAATTAAGTAAGCTCTCATTCTCATACAAATATCCAATAATCTACTGAAATTTGAATCATAATGAAAATGTAATCGATATCAAAGTTCTACACCGACAACAATAACAACAACAAGCCTTTATCCCACTGTGGGGTGGGTCCGCTACATGAATTTCTTTTTCTCCATTATGTCATGTTATAGAGAAATTATTCTGTGCGAAGACCAAATGATGAAAACCGTCCGGATTTATTGTCATTTCAATGCGCTTTTACAAATACTCGGCAAAAGGTCAGCTAATATGCAATTATTAATGTATATTTGTTGCTCTTTTGCTAAGTATTTGCAAAAGCTCAGCAAAAGGCAACAAATATTTAATTAGTAAATATTTATTGCGATTTAGCTACCCTTTTACTGTGCTTTTGCAAATACTCAACAATAGGACAACAAATATGTATTCATAATTGCATATTAGCTGCTATTTTGTTGAGTATTTGCAAAAGCAAAATTAAAGAACAGCTAAAGCGCAGCAAATCCGGACAGTTCTCGTCGTCCGGTCTCTGCACAGAATAATTTCTTCATGTTAAGAGTCAGATTCTCATCTAAATCTAATAAAGAAAAGTTCTACAGTATAACTAAAAATGCGGGATTCCATGAAACAAAACAAAATCCAAGGTAAGGAAGAACATTAGTCCCCCCTTCCCCCAACAATAAATCATTATTTCTTTCATATACATGACTGCGCGAAGGTAAGTAAATCAGTATAGATTATAACATTACCAGAGCAGCTACAGGACCGGTGCACACATGAGCCCGATCGAGAGTGACAAACATATGAATGAATTAGTGTACAATAAGCCATCAATAATTATATGAAACAACTTTCAAATCTACACTGTTGTAGAAGAATATCTTCATATTGATTCAGTAACAGGCTCCGGTGGTGGATCAACCGGGGGCACAGCATCCACTTTGTACTTCAAGTACTGTAAAAAGAACAACGTTAAGTAAATTAATATTTGATAATTTGATTATTTCTAGCAATTGTTATCATAATTTCCCAGCAGATTATCTATAATTTGTTTCCTCTTATAATGTGGGATCAAAATTGGAACGCTATATACTTAATCACGTGATTTATTATTTCTTTCCTAAGTTATCCAACCCTCCACCGCCTCATAGTTTTCAAGTGAGGCTCACCTACAAGTGTTAGGTGCGGCAAATCGTTTCATTTTTGAGACTTTGAGGCCGGCGTGTTAGGCTTTGTTAGGGACGGCTTTTTTACTGATTCTTAAAGCAGTTTTTTAGTATAAAAATTTTGTATTAAAAAACTGTTTTAAGAAGCACGAAGAAAACTATCTCAAACTAAGCCTTAATGTTGATGGTTTGTGAAACGTAGGGATTGAGATGGCATGTGGTATCGCTATAATTGAGCTGCCGCTTGGATCTGCAACAGAGACCGACAGGCATCTCTTCATACGACCATGAGCGTAATGAATGGATCACACTGAACCACATAATTCTCATGTCACTTTTTCTAGAGTGTTTTCTTGTAGGCTTATTATTTCATTGATTTGATTGCAATTATTGAGCATAAACTTTTCCCAAAGAAAGGTATCACATACGAACTTTTTGAGGTCTTGTGGGAAAGTGGGAGCAATGAAGTTCAAAGATAGGAGCATTAAGATCGACAAGTTAAATGATCAAAACATCGGGTTATGAAAGTTGAAGATCGAAGACTACCTCTAGCTAATAAAGTAACATCAACTTTTGAAAGGAATAAAACCATTGATGAGTAGTCGCAAAAGCTAATGGAGAGATGGGAAGAATTATATGTCCATCCCTTAGCACGAACATAGCATTCACCAAGTATGATGATGAAGATTTTCAATCTCAGAATGTTAGAAACCACATCAAGGAGTTCAACTCGATCACAAGGCAATAGAACTTCATGTAAATCAAATTTGAAGACTACAACATACAACAGGTACCCATACACACTTTTCTTAGCATCTTGGGATTGAAGACTACGACCGTAATTTCTACGGACACCTACCATACACGTTTTTCTTAGCGTGGTGAGAAGGACCTACTCCATACACTTCACCCAACATGGGATATGCTGGGGTATTGTTGAAATTTAGACTAAAGTATAATGAACTTGAAGAACAAGAATACTTTACTTGAGCAGCAACACAAAGGGCCTGTACCTGAACATAAATGTATAAAACTTGAAAAATAAGAAAACTTCGCTTGAGCAACAATACAGAGGACTCGAATCTAAACAAATGTGCAGAGGACCTGTACTTGAACAGAAATGCACATAACTTGATCAGCTGTGCAGGGAACTAAACCTGAACTGAAACAGGGGACTTGAATTGAACAGCAGGAAACTGAACCCTAAATCTTAAAATGTGCAATTAATATCAAAATGCAAATAACAATTTAATGCATTCAAATAAATACAAGTAAATAAGCAGGGGACTCATGATGAGCAAGACCTTGATGCATACAAACAAGGAGCAATACTCAATTCAGAGCATCTAAACAATCACAAACGAATATCAATCATCGACACCTGAATGTATGGTACACAACAACTGATGCTAATGAATGCAACAAACTACAGCAGTCCCTACGAGATAAAATGCAATGTAGTTTCAAGAAATATCAGCCTACTACATAATGCATAGATGTCTCCTACACGGATTATTAAGAACCCCAACATAAGCAATAGTGTTTGTAGATTGAAATGACGACACTGATAATTGACGAAAGACGACCCGTCACTGCAAACAAGTACACAATTAACATCCACCTGTGAATGATGAAGGTGGATATGATGCAAGTACAACGACTCTCCTACAAGTACGTCAAAGAGATTGTAGTGAACATTCCCTGTAAACAGTGATAATTGATATGATAATTGTGGATAACAATAGTGGGTATATCATAACTATTAGACCTGTCAACATTTGATCCGACCCGAAAACCAGATCCGAAATCGACCCAAAATTTTTGGGTTCGGGTCAACCTGTTTAAAGAACGGGTCAGGTTAGGGTTTGGAATTTCTACCAGTTTAGTTTTTCGGGTCGGGTCTGGGTTAACCCGACAATTACCTGAAATGACCCGCACTTTTTTATAAGTAATTAGCTGCGGGTCCGTGATGCGTGCGTCGAGCGAGCTGAAGATATTTATTCCGTGGCTTGACTGGCTTCTGTCTAGGGTTTCTACTTTCTTTTCTCTCTTTCTCTTCGCCTCTCCAGCGCTGGAGCTCTCATCGAGTCCATAGTCGTCGGCACGACGGCGTCTGCGCTTACGTTTCAGTTTTTCAAACTTTCAGTTCACACGTTCCCTGATCTGTTTCACTGTTTCTATCTCGTTTCTATTACCATTTTTTGACATTTTAGAAGATGAAGGTGTTGAGATTTTGTGTTCTTCATTTATTCTCTATTTCTCTGCTAGGGTGTTGAGATTTTTTGAAGTTGAAGTTGTTCTGTGATCTCTATTTCTCTGCTAGTGTTTATCTCGGCTAGGGTTTTAATAATTTGTATGATTAATGGTTATTTTTGTGAAAAAAATTGTTGGCTACGGTGTTTAACCAACATATTGATTTGTCTCTACTCTCTAGCTAGCCCAGTTTGAACTTTTACAGATACCAAAAGCATTGAGGTAGTTAGGGCATCATGTATTTTTGATTTTCCATTTTTGTTTTAGTCATTGACCGATTTATTGGTTAGTGATTGGTTTGTTGGCTAGGTTGTTTAACCAAAAAAATGCCATAATTTTTTTATTTTGGCATTATACTGCAGCTGGCCCTTTAAGACGTTCAAGTGTTATGTGAAAATATGTTTTACAGTTTTAGTTAACTTCATATCAGAAATTTCCTAATTTGACATGCAAGAAATATTTAAATATTCGCATTGTGATGTCTTCTAATATTTTTGATAGATGGAGGACTCTAATACCATTCCTGATAATGTTTGTTTTGATGAAAATGAAGAAGTTGCACCATCTGAAAATGTGGTAGAGCCATGTAACATTGAATGTAATGAGAGAGGTGAAGTTGCTAGGAAGTGGAGAAGAATGACTTCGGTTGTTTGGAGTTACTTTGAGATGTTGCCTAAGCCAAAAGATGGTAAGCAAATGTGTAAATGCAAGAACTGTGGCGTGATATATTTCTGTGATAGCAAAAATGACACTGCGAATATAAGACGATACTTGGAAAATTATATAAAAAAAAATATGCGTGATATTGGATAACTCATTTTACAAACAAACTCTGAATCATCCATTTCTATGACTAATAGTAAGTTTGATCAGTCAGAATTTTGTGACCTGTTTATTGCATGCATCATTATGCATGACTTGCCCTTCTAGTGTGTTGAGTGGGTTGGAGTTCGAGCTCTTCTAACGTATCTTCGTCGGGACTTGCAGTTGTTTTCAAGAAACACCGTATGAAGTGATTGTAAGAAATTATTTAGTAAAGAGAAGTGTAATATACATTCACAGTCAGCAAAATTGACAAGTAGGGTGTGCTTAACATCAGACATTTGGACTTCTATTAATACAAATGGGTTTATTTGTTTGACAATGCATTTTATAGATAATGATTGACATTTGCAAAAAAAAAAAAACACCATCTTTGGTTTCATGCCGCCCCCTCATGATGGCATTGCATTATTTGAAAAGTTACAGTCTCTTGTTATAGAGTGGAATATTGATACCAAACTTTTTAACATTACTTTAGATAACGCGTCAGCAAACAATACCTCAGTTGAATATCTAAGAAATCATTTATGTTTACGTGGTGCTTTGCTTTGTGATGGTGAGTTCTTTCATATTCGTTGTACCGCACATATTGTTAATCTCATAGTTCAAGATGGTTTGAAGGAGGTTGATGCTTCAATAATTAAAATCCGAGGGAGTCTTAAGTATGTAAAAGGCTCTCAAGCGAGGAATCAAAAGTTTCTTGATTGTATCAAACAAAGATGTCTAGATGGAAAGAGAGATTTGCAACAAGATGTTCCAACTAGATGGAACTCCACTTTTATGATGCTAGATAGTGCTATTTACTATCGACGAGCTTTTCAGCATTTAGAATTGGGTGATTCAAATTATAGGAATCGCCCAACTAATGTTGAGTGGGAGAAAGTTGAATATATTTGGCAATTCTTGGCTCATTTCTACGAGATAACATGTATTATATCTAGATCAAAGTGTCCAAAATCTAATTTATACTTTCCTTGCATTTCTATAACTTATGCATCGTTGAAACATGAACTCTTAAGTGGACATGAATGCATCGAAAGAATGGCAGTAGGAATGATAGTCAAATTTGAGAAATATTGGTCTGGATTTTCTGTTATACTGGCTATAGCTGTCATTTTAGATCCACGATACAAATTTGCTTTTATTGAATGGTGCTATAGAAGACTATATGAAAAAGATTACCAATATGAACTTATAAAGGTTAGAGAAAAGTTATTCTCTTTATTTGGAAATTATAGTTCAACAAGTAATGAATTAACCAGACAACAAACACGTGCATCCTGAATGGTTGAAGTCGGAACATCAAGAAGTACATCTACATACATAATTAAGTCACAACTTATTTAGGTATTACATTAAGAACTAGTTAGATCTCCATTAAAGCTACTTGTGTTGTTTTATAACATTTACATCTTCACAAACAAGATTTTGAGTCTTTTCATGTAGAAATTGTAATGCCTAGGAAATCGGAGTTAGAAATATATTTGAATGAGCCAAACCTAAATATGAAGATTGATTTAGATAACTTGCATTTCTGGAAAGACAACCAATATAGGTTTCCTGCTATCTCTGCTATGGCTCGTGGCGTTTTGTGCATTCCTATAAGTACAGTGACATCAGAAAGTGCTTTCAGTAATAGCGATAGAATACTAAATCAATATCGAAGTTCACTTAAGCATGACATTATTGAGGCACTTGTCTGTTCAAAGGATTG